CTTGTTCGCACATGGGCAGTTTTTTCTTCATTATTTGCTCCACCAACGCAGCAGAATAGACCGTTGCAAGTTTACTGGGGTGTGTAAAACATGCGCATAGAAACTGCAATTAGCGTGCGCAACGTAAGACGCCGACTGTAATTTCGTATCTGCAGTGCTGAACAGCAGATAATTAATCCAATACCGGTGTTTGCATAAAGCCTGCTAATTGTGATATAGCAAGGGAAATGACACCACTGAATCCTACTTTATACAGCTGTAATGGGCTCATGCATCTGAACCCATGGAGCCATGAAACGGATTTATAGCTCCACGCTAAACCATAACCAACGGTTCAATGATCCCTTCTATGGTGTTCCATATAGAACACCATACACTTCATTTTGTACTCAATTTCAGGCATGAATGCGTTCAATTTAATGTTTTAGTCGTAATAGTTGGCCTCGTCGAATTGTCTGCGTCGCCATATCGGCTGGCCCTGATGAATTTGGTCGGTGCTAAGTTTTAGAAGCAATTTACGGCAAACTGGAGAATGCTGTCCAGCCTACTAAAACTACTCACTCCATGTGTGATTTCAAAATAGTTGGTTAAATTTCCCTAAAATTTACCCATTGTACTGGGACAGGGCTAAACGTACAAAGTTCAAAAGGCATTGAAAGAGATAAAGAGAAAATCCCCTGAGATGATTGTGATAAGAAGGTAGTTACAGATAGAAACCCGTCGAGTTAAACGGGACTTTCGTTTGTAAAACACACCGGAGTTGGGGAGAAAATATCTTTCTTTAACCTGTCTTGCATTCCGATTATTTGAGCGCCATTACGAGGCTCCTTTTAGCTAGCTCTGCGGCTTCAGGTCAGATTTTGAATTGTCTGCAGACTCTCTCGCTTGTATAATTGATTTGATCGTTCAGGGTGAAAGTCTTTGTCGTTTTCTCTTGGGTCTGCATTGGCTGTTCACTGGACCTCTCGATAAATCGTACTGATATAAACTGCCCGTTTCTTCCTGCGTTTTGACCATTAATAAAGTAGACAGAAAATGGAGTGTTTACTGATTTAGATTTAGATGAATGGTCAATATGAATAATTGTAAGAAAGCTTTTCTTAAAGTATAGGCCCACTCTGTGCTGCTTTGTTCTGAAGTAGATCAGATGGAATGACCTGTGGTATACTTTCAACAAAATATCATGACGTATTCGTTATGCAAGATTTCGCAGGCAAATGACCACAGGCAGCCAAAGACTGGTTAACCATTAATCCCTTAATGAAAGTAACGATTGCGAAAGTCACCTGACAGGCCGGACCGTGCAGTCAGTAAAGCGAGTCTTTCTAAGGACACTGCAGATGTTCGATATTGACCAAGGACGACCTGACCTTAATTGAAGTTGCAACCGAAAGAACAAAAAAAAAATAAATAAAAAAATAGAAAATACTGGGTCGATCATCGATTGGGTGGTTTAGAAACTGCTGGGGACCGGCTAACACAGAGTTCCAGTTCACCTCAAATCCAATTTCCCGCGGTGTACTCTAGTGATATCCACGCTTGGAATTACCGTGCGTTGTATGCTCAGTCGGCACGGTAAACACGCACTTCGGGTGCATTTTAATGGTACGCAAGGCTCTTGTTTTGTAACGAGATCAACTTCAAGGCTACAGGCTCTGCAAAATCCGTATAGGACCAGACATGATCCCATTACTTCGTATCCCAGACTTAAGTCCCACGTGCCCCTCAAAAAGATGTTTTTTATGGCAACTGTGATGTGAAAACTTTTTCAATTGGCATTAAAATATCCCCGGGCTGCTATTGAACTGAAAAAAAGGCTTTAGGTTGAAAAAGGTCAATCTTTCTTTCGGGGGATAATTTTCCAAATTGTAATTTTTGCCCTTTTTACATCTTTTAACACATGCAGTTTGGGACATGCATTAGAATGCAGCCACTTCAGTTGTGGTCATCTGAGTATTTGAGATGTATATTTCTGAAACAAGAATCCATTTTGGTGTTGTGTTTGTTTGATTTCGTTGCGAATTTATCAAATGCTATAACTGTACCTGGAAGAAGCGGAAGACTATGTCTCCATTCTTCAAGTGGGGACGGACGCAGTCATACGTGTCCACAAACCTCTTCATTATTTTGTTCATAATTAAGTATAAAGAAAAAGAATGTGCTTTATCTTGGCTAGCAATCTAAACTGCTGTTTACTGATGTGCGGCTCCGGTTCTTAACCGTCGAGTGGAGAATTAATGATCTCCGCTCATAAGCTCCATCGATAGATTTCATGTACGTGCAGTTAGAGTGAGGTTGTAAAGTAAGGCGGTTCTTGAATTCCTCACAATTTCATCGCGGGCCTGAACAGACACCGAGGAAGTTCACGACTGCGGAGGGGTTTCCGGACCGCACGGATCAGCGTCCGTTGTGCCTTGGCACAGAAGAAAGGCACGCTCGATAAGTATGTGTAGCGGGGACGTGTCGGTTCAGGTCTAGACCTTCGTGAACGGATAGTTCTTTTTAGGGAGTATTCACGGCAAATTTACTGAAGTGAAAACGTGGTTGAGGGTCCAGAGAGAATAACTGCAATGTCTCGGGAAAAAAAAGTACCGTAGGCCTAGATAAGGTCTGGTATAAAAATAGCCATATTTCTCCCCCCCCCCTTCCTGCTTCCTTTTAGATATAATGTAAGTTTATAGAATCTTTTAGATGGGGTGAAAATAACTTACTATGGACACAAAAGTATGTCAGTGTTTAGCCCAGAAAATCTATCCACCATCTGTCTTCAGAACCCCAGACGAGACAGTATTTTCACTCAACCTCAGTCCAAATTGTGGCATAAAATCGTGAAGTCGCTAAATAAATATTCGTCCATGAAGTCCCTTCATAGCCACCGTCGAAACGTGCGGTTCGTTACAGAATCCAAGTGCACATACGGCTCCTCTTAGAATGAATACCAAAAAACAAATGCTTGTACAGCATGTGGCGATGAGACAGTTTCATCGGATTTTTAACTATCAGCCGAACCTGCAATTCAATGGAATTAAGCCGAACAAGTTTTCAAGTATTATGAATGAAGAGGTGGGCCATATCTAGACATTTCAGGGACGTGTTTACTGTTAGGTGTTGGGTGGTCTGGCCTTCTTTTAATACAGTCTGAAACGATCCTGACTAGGTTGACAGTTGTAGCGTGGTAAGCCGTCAACCCTTCTTTGGTTGCTGTACACTTACAGTAGGACACGAAATGAGATCTTACTGTCTGAGAACTAGGTTTGGTATGCTTTTGAAGAGGATCCCTTGAAATGGATGTAGGATTGACATAGCTGTTGTCGTGGGGAACCCAAACCAAGATTTTTGTGCATATAGTGCCGGCTATAGGCCTAAACGCGATTGCGCCATTTAATTCACCTACATTTGCATGCCCTTAGATTCCTCCGCGGTAGTTGTGCTACCCATGCTCTTCAAGCGTAGGGAGGGACAAGGGGGTAGCTGTTCATAGAACCATCAGCAATATTTTTTCATTTTTTGATGTTCTGCAAAGTGCGTGTACTTTGGAGTGGTGGCATTGCTACCCTGGAAAAGTATAACAAAAACGATATTGAAGCCTCAATTTTCGTTCACCTTACAGAGAGTTTCCGATTTGTTTTGTGTTTCCTTTCTGTATTTGAAGAATTGATGAAGTCTATGGCAGTTCATTTGCCGGTCGGTAATCTCCAAACAGTCAATTTTATCACTGCTGATGCACTTTTCCTCACGAAGGCTGGATGCATGACGTGGTACCGACCTACTTCAGTCGGGTTACGAAACCAGGCCAACACGCTTACGCGGCTGATTGGCGGCCCATAAAAAGCTTTTGTCTCCTTACGGCGATCAGCATAACAGCGCATGAAATTCGTGAGGGTCAGACTCATTTTGCTCCCTTGGGGCGTTTTCAAAGCTGCATATAGGTTACCCAGGCTTCAAGTGTATCACCAACGGACAAACACTGAGCTGGTAGCGCCTGGGTGGGTTCATGGCAACATGCCCGCCAGACAGTGACATCTGCTCAGTAGACTCCTTTTACAGTCGTCTGTCGGACCGATGATAACCTTGCAAGACAAAAAGTAGGAACTCTTTCAAATGGCTGGCTGGTTGCAGTTATGGTGATGGTACGCGCAGCTCGTGTTGTGTTGAAACTATAATGTACAGTCACATGGGGAAAGTTTGTTTGGTACAGAAAGCGCCAACCATGGCAGCGGCCTAAGTAAACCTTTTTCGAGTTAAATTTGAATAAAATCTGGTACACAAAGTTATCTTATTTCACATAAACATAACAATTTGAATTCGCAGACTGAATACGCTGTTGCTATGCCTCATGATTCGGGGCAGGCTTTTGCATAGTGACCACCATTTCCGGAATGCACTGGTTGCTTTGTGCCCTTCTTATCCGTTAAAACCAGGGTTGGCGTATTGGTGCAAGGCGTCTCTCATGTATTTTAGCAAAAGCTTTTCCCGAATCACGAGGTCTAGCAACATTGTGCTCAGTATGGAGAACTAAAATTGTTGTATTCACGTGAATTAAAAAAAAAATCAGAGCACTAGATTTTACTCAAATTTAACTCGCAAAAGGCTGATTGCATGTGTGATGAAGTCCTTGGTATGACTGGAAAATTGAGGTGTTAAGAGAAAATCTAGAGATATAAAATGTAGTTAGAGTATAGTGTGGTGCCAGGCGTATCATTGCCCAGGCAGTCACAGTTACCAGTGATCTTCGGTTTGGACATTGTTCGTGTTCATGCACTTGATAGGCGCCCCGTGAAAAACCTCTGTTGTCTCCCAGCATCATGGAACAGACTCACATTCAAAAGCTGAACAGGTTACCCTGGGCTAGTCAAGCGTATTACAAAGTGAAAAAAAACCAGTAGAGTGTTAATAGGTTCACGGCAGTATATGCTCCTGGACAATGACGATTGTTAACATGGGCTAGACTCCTTTTCCATTCACTGGTTGAATTCGTGAAAACCTTGTCAGATGAAAAGCCCCCTAAACTGACTTTCTGAAATAGCTTTGTCATGGTGACGGTAAACTTGCTCGGTTTCGTGTTGAAATATGCACCGTCACATCGGGATGTTTGTGGGTAAATAAAACGCCAGGAATGGTCTTGATTGCATGTGTGAAGAAATCCTCGACGGATGATGAAGGCAGTCAGAGGTAAGATACCAATATAAAGTGCAATCACGGAAAAAGGAATTCCTTGCTTCCTCCACGGTGCGGTAGAGTGTACAGTGCTGGTATTATGTCAACTCAAGTGGGCTCGAGCTTAGTACATGCTAGTAGTAACATGTTACGGCTAGGATGCCCTTTGATTCGACCTGGCCTACGTTTGGCACAGGTTACGTCCGATTAATGAGTATCACCAGATCAAAATAATAATTGCCCATAGGAGTTACATTAAATTAAACTAAAGATAAATATCACAGGTGCATAATTAACTAAAAGTCCATGCACAAACAACGTCAAAGATCCTCAGACTGAAAGATTTTACTTATAATTATAGGCCTATTATGCTTCTTTTTTTAATGAAATTCCGAGTTGATGTTCTGCAACGCTTTCATGGAGGGGTCCAGAAATGTCCTTTTATGTAGGCCAATCCGTGATTGAAGAGATGATTACTCTGTAAACCACACTTTGCTACTGGATGCTAGTGATGCTTTGCATGAGTTTCAACATGAGGCATTTAGAACGTGACGTGCACAGTCAAATGTAAGAATTAACGTTGTGAGTTTCGGCAGGGTAAAGTGACAATCTCATTGCACAAATTCACATTCTTGCACAATTTTCTTATTTATGTAATTCCCACCCAGAATATCTAGAATCACATCACAGAGACAACAACAGGATATGACTTGGGATATTTAATTCTAAATGCGACATTGGGAGAGGTGAACTATGATATTAAGAAGAATCTTTTGACCAGCTCTCTTGTAAACTCACACCCTAACTTGTTTTGAATAAAAATAAAATTCTTATCCTGCCTATACTCGAAAACCTTCTGTAGACATCAAGAAAACTTGAAAAGAGACGCTTCAGAGATTGGGCACCTAGGGAAATTGTGTGCAGGCCTGACTGTACAGTATGTTAACTGTATTCCCCAAACTGAATAACAACATGTGTGACAATCTGGCCAGTTCCAGGTCGATTTCACTGGTGCACACAGTAACGGTCTGAGGGGTGTCAACAAAACAGCTGGCATCCAGGCTCAGGTTTGTCGGTTGCACTACCTTACTGCCGGACAGATGCCGTAAAGAGTTCACCCTTTTGAAAAGTAAAAGTGTTTCTGTCTTGACGAATGCGTTCAATACACGGCATTAAACCAGACTGATGACAGTCATTCTCCAGACTGTCCTTAAGTCCTATCAGACAGATATCATGAGATGTTTATCTTTTTGTAAAACACTGGCTTTTGTCTGTCTAGACGGAGGATCCAACTTTAAATCACATAGTACCAGTAACTCACTTGAGATAGATTGATTCTAGGCTCCAGTTCTACAGGCTCCTCGAGTCCTACTTCCAGACATGATGAACAATTCATCTTTTTAAAATGTGAACGCACGTGGAAGTTATACACTAATTCTTCAAATCGAAATCGCGTGGCATTACTCGCGATTGAGAACACAAGTCTCTATTAATGTAGATTCCAAGAGCTGGATGGCTCATCTTGTTAAAACAGCGCACGTGTGAGCCTGAACCAACGCGTTCAATTTAAACGTGTGGTTTTAATTCAGTTTGTACACGCAGGATTTAGTTCAGGTGGACATTCCGTAAGCTACGCGACATTCGTAACGAGTGATTCGTCCCTGTTTTCTGAATTGTGGGCGTGCCAAAAATTTAGACTGACTTCACAGGGAAATATCATATGTTATTACGTGCTGCTTTATGTAGGGCGTAAGCCATTTCTGAGAGAAATAAAAATAGCTGAGACGGGGTGACTTTTTTTCCAATACTCAGATTTACAGGTATTTGTAATTGTTACGCCACATTATTTTAGATATAAACTGAAAAACCTAAATTGTCTGTTTCAAGGCAAACAAATTAGCAATTTCCACTTCCGTTAAAGTTTTCTGTCATGTTCTCAGTATTGTTGACAATTTAGCATAACATGCGAAATTTAAAGGTATCCATTTTTAACTGGGTCGATGGAAAACCTGATTGCATTGCAACGAACGGGAAGGGAGAATTTTATTCTAACAAGCTCTCGTTACAAAGTCTACTGAGTTCTGCTTGAAATTGCCAGACTGCCTAAACATGAAAGGAAAAACTCCTTTCCCTTTGGTGTATGGCCCAGAACATAGCACATGGAAGTATTTTAAAGACCCATCTTTGTCACGTGACGATTTGAGAAAATAAAAAGCTGTTAACTGACGAGTAAAGCTAGCCTAATTTTATCTGCTGGACTCGTTTGATCTACGGCAACATGTCGTACATCGAATGTGACGGCTCGGTACGTTAAGTTCCAGTTCCATGAACATAAGACATTTTGTGGAACTACGATTATCACTTGGACTTGTGCGGTTCATCAAAGAGAAATCTGGTTTAGTACTGCCGTAACGCATCTCACACTGCCCCAATAATGGCGCGGTTGGAACCTTTTTACATTCTTGAAATGCTCTCATTAAACAACGCTACCAATCGTGTGTGAAAGATGGAGATAGCCTAGCGTGATGCAATTCATTCTGAAACAGAAAGTAAAAACAGGCATAGCAATTCTCTTCTTGACCTTGCCTTGAAAACCTATTAGTATTAAAACCCATTACTTTTCAGTGCAATAGAGTTCCATTGTGCTGATGTAGCTATGTATGCACATACTAGTGTATAGAACATTTAATTAACAGTCGTGTGCGCTCGTTCTTGTTTCGACGAATGCTTTCAACCGTTCAATATCCGCCTCAAAATAGATTTTAATTAATTAAATTACTGATTTAAAACCGCATTTGATGGTTTTGTTTCTCTACAGGGAAAGTAACTTCGTGTATTGAAACTAGGCCAAGGCAAATCAAATCGAACAAGTAGGCCTATGAGTTGCGAGCAGGAAATGCTTGAGAAGAGAATACTAGAACATATGGTTAATGATACAACGTGGGGGTACATACGGTAATGGGCAGACGAACATGAAACTTCGAACTGATCCTATCTGACTACATTGTAGATTAGTTTGCTCCGCATGATGATGTCTACCAGAGACATGGACTGTTTCCCGTTCGTTGTTGTGTGTTTCAGTGTGGTCTGTCGGTCTCTCTTTGCGCTACCGTTAACCTCACTCCTGCAAACAAGAAAACATCGACCGAGGAGACAAACATGGGTGTTCATGAGCCAAAATCGGATTAGCGTAGTAGTTCTTTCCTCGCCATCCACCAGTGCGGCCCAAGGTCATTACTACACAAACCGCTGAAATGCAGTTTTCCTGCGATCTATTGACCTCTGTTACGCCCCAACGATGATATCAGTCCCAAGTACAGTTGGGACCGTCCCAACTAGAATGCTATTGTTGGGCCTGCCCAACCACAGCATAGAGGTCCATTGTGTGTCCATTATGTGCCAAAGTCACATTCATTGTTTACATTGTCATATCGTAGATGAAGTGCCATATTTTAGATGAATTCTGTCAAGTGTAAGATGCATAAACTTGGATAAGGTTGAGAAAATGTCTAAAGAAATTTGGTCAACAATAGTTGGGCCAGCCCATCTACAGCACTGCAGTTGGGACTGTATAGATGGGACATAGTTGGGACAGACGCTATAGGTGGGGTGTAACAGCCCCCCCACCCGCAAGTAACGTAAATTGTCTACCATTTTGCCCGTTAAATTATGCCAACTGCTCCCCCTTCATACAGTTGTGTGTACAGATTGGCTATAGGCCCTAGCGTGGAACATTATTCTGCACGCTCGCAAACCTCGCAAGATCGATCAAATCTTCCAATTTAATCAGCTGAAAAGTGCGATCCCGCCAGTGCCATGCAGGAGTTTTTTCCCCGTCGAAAACTGATGACAACAGGTGGACCAGTGAATGTTTGACTTCGCCTCTACGCAAATATACCTAACCACCCATAAGTCACTTGCGGCCACTGAAGTACTGTAAATGAGCATTATTGGTGATAGTGATTAAGTCAGAAGTTTCCAAATTAAGAAGATGGAACTTGCCAAGATCTTATGTTGCTAACCAGGGATGAGGGTAGCAGTGACGGTATACGGTCCCGAAGTTTGCCGTCTGAAGGCCCAATTACACTGTGCGGTAACGGAATTCCGCGTGGTGAACACATATTAAACATGGTTTTCTATTTGGTTGTTCACATTCGGATCAGATAAACTATTCAATCGCCCGATAAACGGCTGGGAATAGAGACAATCTTTCCAAAGGTACCTCTCTGTGACTGCGCGTTCTGGTGAATCATCGTTCGTCTTGTTTGGTATGACGTCACTTTCTGGCTGCAACGCCATTGTCCGTGTGGAATATTGTACTAGCATAAACACCAACGAGTTTCCGCTTCTGTGAAATTTAAAATATCGCGCGACATTACCGCTCTCTGCTCATGCTTTTCGATACCGCGACGTACGTGTGAAAACGGGCCTCAACCTTCACTCTCTCACTCTTGTAGCGAGTGGCGTTTTCGAACCTAAATCATTGAGAAGAGGGCGCACAAAATGGCCCCAAATTCTGAAAACAATTGAGTTACTGGAAAACGCAATGTTCAAAATGCAGGCCTTTTGAACTCCTGCCATTTCTCAATACAGTTTCTTTAAGCAATCAGGTCCCTGTTTAACGTTTTCCTGTAGAAATGGATCAGTCCTCGCTTAAAGAATGAAGTTGAGACGAAAAGCCTAATGACTTTCGCTAGTGTTTATTTGTGTTCCGTCTGAGACGATGTGATGTCTTCTCGACGGGGCATCTTAGGGAAATGCAATTTCCTGCGCTAGGCAAGTCCGGATTTTGCGAGAGGCAAGTGAAATGTTGACTCATGTAGCGTTGAAAAGATTGTTAATCTGCGTGTCGCCCATGTTTAACGAAATTGCTGGAAGTGTTGGAAGTGCAGAAAGGAATTTTTCCGTTCTTATTAATCGGTCTCTTTGAATTGCGTTTCTTCAAAATATAAAAATACTGATAAAAAATGTTAACTTAAAGGTTTTCGGAAGTAGAGGTTGTCTTTTGCCAAGTTGAACCTTTGACCAACATTCCAACTTCCTTACCTTCTCTCAAATATCAACCCCAGGCGTTCTCAAAGTTTACGAGAATTAATCTATTAATACACGCTCCGATATTTTTTATAGTGTATCGTTTCATTACAATACTACGAAAGCCCTGTAGTGCAATCACGTATATATTTTCAAAAAAGTGACGTGTATTTTTTTCGAAGTACGTTTTTAGGAAACCTATTTCATTTTTACGAGATATATTTTTCCAAAGTTGGTTTGTTCGAGACAAGCATTCTGCAGTTCGTTTTAATAGGGTGTATATATTTAGAAACAGTGTTTCTATTTTTGGTAATAAACCATTTTTTACGAGATATATTTTATTGAAAATTTTTAATTTTTCCAAGTTGATTTTCAGGATATACGCAGTATCAGGTTTGAATTTATTTTTCACAAAAAAAATTAGAAAAAATGTAACTCAGAAAAACGAACTTTAAAAAAACCTAAAAAACGAACTTGGAAAATTTCGTTGAAACAATTTGTTTCAAAAGTAGACATCTTTTCTGTTTATAAATCTTAGGGGAATGAACTGGAGAAAATAGATCTCGAACAAACGAACTGGGGAAAAATATTTCTCGTAAAAACAAAGTTGAAAAAAAAATTGCACTCCATAAAAACGAACTTGGAAAAAATATATACTTCATAAAACCGAACTTGGAAAAATATACTTTTATGAAAATATGTACTTCACGGCACTACGGGGCTTTCGTACAATACCAGTTATGCAAGTGGGCATGTATAAACCACCGTGCCATTTCTTTCAGCTTATGGTTGACCGATTTCTTTGGACTCACAAAATGGGATGATTGATCATCATAATCACTGGGAATCAGGGTAAAGTATCCTTCCCCATATCTTCGGCTCACATCTCTTCTCAATATCTAAGTCCTTCCACTTCTCCTTTCGCAGCTGTTGGCTCTTTTTTTCCCCAGTAATCGTCAGATTCCACAACAGAAACCTCTACGACCTGGACTCGGCCTACATCTGCGGCAGAGTTCAAATTCCAGGCCGGCTGAATCCGATTTCCCGTGTTTCTTGATTCACAGGTTTACGACATATATCTCAGTGTTGACACATAAACAATCTACCTCTCCGGGAGAATATCGTCTCGGGGCCTGCATGACTCGCTAAACCAAACAAAGCCAGGTTAAATCGACGACCAGAAAACGGCAAATACAATTCTACAGGATATTAATATCAGCAGCTAAGAAATACGAAGCTCTGAAATGGTCTGAGGGATTCCGGCAGTCTGCTTCCCCAGTGGAAGCAGCGGATCGATTTGCTGTAGAGGTTATATAAAAGTTAGCTTCCCATACAGTTATCTTTGTTTTGATAGCGAAATTAAATCAAGGTCGTTCCTTGTCAAACAATTAACCAGTCTTAAGACGAATTGAGAGTTTCCAGTTCTCACTTTGATTACGTTTCTCAATTCGATGACACCAAAGGGACAACATTGCTTTTAAGTGCAGTTCTCCGTTGGAAAGCAAATTGAGATACCGTCAGCGGCAAAAGAGCTCAATTTTCAAGGTGTTTTTAAACAAAGTTTGACGATTTTCATAACCTCTCTGACCTTTGTCGCTTCTTTCCATTTTTCTTGTTTCCGTTTGCATAGTTCCATTTTCGTGGGGAAGTGCCCTTGCCCCACCGCCTCCTGGCGCTAACAATTCGTGCACAGAAAACGAAAACAACCAACAAGGGCATGGTCTTCAGCTGATTGAGGTAGGAACGTGCGCACGCACTCCAAGAACATTCAAACATATTGATGACGTTACACGACTGCTAGCCTAAGAGATTTGATATATCACTCTGGCGAGTGAGCCTGTGTAAGATGTCTGCCGCGCTCGCTCCAGATACGAATATTTTTAGCGACCCGTAGTTGGTTCTTAAAAACTAAGGTTTCATTGTCGGATCCAGTTGTTTTGGGCGAGATTCTAACCTAGTCGGCGAAAATGGTCTTTGACATTAAGCTGGTCAAGCATTTTTCAACTTGGCAAGGCAGAGTTTGTTTGTATGTCTGTCTTTTTGATGAGGAAAGTTCTATGTATGCTTTGAATATATCGCCTTCAGAATATACAGTTTGTCTGAAAATTAGCAAAACCTGAAATTTCGACAGCGCGTGGACGCGGGTTCAACTATTTACCCTAAAAGAACCTGGGGGCGTTATCCACCCCCAAACTTTTTTTTTTTCGATTTCGCAGCAGTACATTTTTTTTCATGAGTCGAACCTTTAACAGTTTTTGTCAGTAACTCTCTGAATCCAGTTTTGCCTAGCGCCCATTTTTCGACACTAAAAAGGTATGTTTTCCACTGCCGTACGGTGCTGCCAGCAGGATGGCTCGTGTGTGGCCTTGAACTTCAAATGACTTCAACACCAAAACCATATTGTATATTTGTACTAATAGGTCTTTTCACTTGCAAAAATCGAACTTTGGACAGCAAAATCCAATCCCGGCCTGAGATGGTCCAAAATGACCTGGCTCAAAGGGTAAATTCATATAACCACGCGCGCATAGACATTTCCTATACTACGTCATAGACGCCATTTGTTGGCCAGTGAGCTGAAACTGCCTGCCCCGAAGAAGGTTCTCAGTTACCGAAAGCTC